AAAAAAAAAAAAAAAAAAAAAAAACTCGATCCACAAAACAAAAGGATTCACGAACTCTTGCATAAAATTTTGCCCCGAGGGAGAATTACAGGATGGTCCTGACCGTACATGCACACACCCAATATCCAATCGCAACTGCGGCTTCAAACACCGTCAACAAAAAAATTTCTACATACTACATTGAAAAAGAATGAAGGCGAAGCATACATTATGAGCAGTTGTGCCAGGTCCACTACGTAACAACAAAACTCTGCCCACTCACCAGTATGGAAAACAAATGCAGCTACATAGTAAACAAAATGGTATGTCACACGGCTCGTTTAATGCAGATCCTCTTGTACTGCACATTTTCGATTTCCAGTGCCTCAAAATGGGAGTATATGTCAAGGAGCAATTTCCGAACGGATAGCCATCAAGTAGCTATGCCCCACCAGTGCCATTTTGAACCAAGTCTTCAAGAAAAAGGTGAAAATTGTGTCATCTTCAACTTTTCACTTTATGAAGGGGCTTAACCCATCACCTTCCCATCCCAGCTTCAGCATTTGGTCAACGACTTTTAAGCTCAACTGCAATAAACGGCAATTCGAATTATATTTCCTTCACAGATAAGAAAACTGTTACATAATGCAAAGTGATGGCAGACTTAAGAGGCAAATATATATATAGTTCATAATAATATGAGCAGTAAGCTAGTGGCATACAAATACGAATGCGACTTACGGAAGGATCTGTGAATACTATCAATTGCTTATTCGCTGTTGACACCAGAAGATTTGTCTTATCCTTATTCAAAGCCATTGTGGAGATATCTTGTCCTTTTGCAAGTTGTATCTTATGGAAGACCTGTGACAAGAAGATTGCCAAGTGTCAGATTATAGAACCAAAATGAGAGAAGAAAATCGAAATGTTGGGAACAGATGTACTTATGTCCTAATAATCGCAGGTCATCTGATGTAGGTCTTCAATTAAAATATTAAAACTAACTGTCAACATTACAGAAATCTCCCAGATATACTCCTCTTTTTTTTTTCTTTTTTTTTTTGTTCAAAAAAGTTGTTCCTGGAGTACGGGGTTATTTGCTATTCCTTATGAATTAGCTTAGTACTCGAGGGTAATTTTCATACTTCCTTAAAATAGTGTAAAATCCAGTACCTCCAGAGTATATAGATCAAAGAAGCAAATGCAAGGTAAGATCAAATCCAATCTGCTTCCATCATTATCATCATTTGCAGCCTCTGAGCCTCCCTCATTGTCCACGGATGGGTTTAACGCGACCAAAGCACTGCAACCATCTAGAGAAACTTCTATGCAGCTGACACTCGATGATTTTGGAAGCCATTGCCTAGCAACCAGAGTCCCATTAAGCGTGAAGGTGCTCAGAGTAGAAAGATACTTATTCCAGGTTACTAAAATTCCATCAGATGACAGACACAAAGAATGAGCCTCCACACCAGCAAGCCTTCTGACGAGCTGCCCTCGTCTTATTGAATGAAGCAACACATCAGAGGAGTCCGAACACGAGGCAACAATTCCGAGGTCCGAGCTCACAGAGCAGCATGTGATTTCCCCTAAATGCCCCCGGAGCACGTGGACAGGGCCTTCTATCCCTTTGCCTCTGTTCTTGTTGGCTGAGCTGGAATTTCTGGGTGTGCTGCCACCCGGAGATGCGGGTGTAGCCGGATTACTGGAAGGTTCCAGTGAGGTAGTCGAGCGTGGCATAGATGATCGGTTTATTCTCCAGAGTAGAACTGTTGAGTCCCGGGACCCGGTCACCAGATAGCTGCTACTAGGAGATACAGACAGGCACGTCACAGGAGCACAATGTCCTCTTGCTATCTCCAAGGTTTTTGCTCCGTCGGCCGAAATAAGTCTGACACTGTTATCTACGTGTCCGCCTGAATAGAAAGATTTATGCCTTTGATTTAATACGGGAGAGTGTGCATGGGAAAGTCAAATTAAATGTCACAGTCAATTACCATTCTTCTATAACGCTAAGATAAGATTCCATTACTAGAGGAAGCTAATGTATCAAAGATGCAGAGATAACTATTTACTGCAAACTAAAGAGGAACTGTCGAACTATGATATTGAATGCTTTATACAAGGCCAGACCACCAAGATGGATGGTCTAGGTGAATAGAAGGTATGCGATATTATTTATTTGAATGAGCAGAATTTCTCAGATAATAAATGAGTATAGTTTAATGTGGACATGTGCACAAAGTCTTACGTTCAAACACATTCCAATGGAAATTCATACAGGAGACAGATTAGAAAGAAAAAATTCTTACACAAATTTCACAATAACTGAAGTTGGAGAAAAGCTTCATAAAAAAAAAATTACTTGCTGAATATTTATCCTCACCGGTGACAATTTCTCCATCACAAGTGACTGAAACTATTCCTGTGCTTCGGATACCAGAAGCTGGAAATGCCAACGCCTGTGGAAATTGCCACTCATCTGATCCAGGAGTAGTTGACCCTTTGAACATTCGCATAAAATTCCCACCAGCAGCACCTGTGCCAGGTTTTCCATGCTGAAAAAGGAAAGGCGCCCCTTCACCATCTGGCGTGTTTGGCTGCCACTTGTGTTGTGCTACATGTGCTGCTGGGACATTTATGTCAACAATTATAAGAGAGTCTGACGATGCATGGATGGCTGCAGCAGGTAGGTTGCAGCGCTCGGGATTGGGAACACTATATGCCTTAACCTCTCTGGGATTCCGGAATATGGTCTATACACAACAAATTCAATTAGACCCATGTTAATTTCTACTTCTGGCAAAGCTAAAATGAAAAATATCAAGCATTAGAATTGAGGAACAGTTGAAATACGAATTATATTACTTTCTTGATTACCCTACATCACTTTCATGTTTTCATGTCTATTATCTGATGAAAGATGAGTGGTGCCAGTACACTGTCATGTGTATTTCACTATTTCTATACATTGTTAAGGAGAGAGAGAGAGAGAGATGTAAGAAATTTATTTTCATCCAAAAGTAAAAGGCATACAGAAATGGGAGCGCAATAAAGTACCTGCATGTGAAGGACATCGGTGAGAGGCATCCGTTTCATGTGGGGTATGGTAAGAAGTTGAGATGGGGTCTGGCCAAAGTAAGCAATCTGATCTTGGGCAGCACGTTGTTGTACCTTTTAAACAGTTTGACAGATGCTAGTAACTGTCATCCAAATTGTATGAATATCTAATGAAAGGTTTCAGATTAATAAAGCAGAGAAGCAACTCACTGGGTCTGATATTTTATCAATGTCTACAGTTCCTTCATATGTAATGTAAAAGAAAACATTGTTCGCCTGTATAGCTTCTTTTCCACGTTGCTTGTACCTTAATACACAAGCATTGTAGGAATAAGATCAGAAAATACCCAGCTCCAAATTTTTCGAGTGAACAATACGGACATCAGAATAGGAGTCACTTCATATATCTGAGATTCAGAAGTAAATAAGAAGAATACCCAAATATGAGATCGATCCATTCATGCAAATGTTCCGAGACATGCTCACTTTCTAGCGCCATCCGATGCTTATGGACAAAGTCAACAGGGTTTTTAGCCCATGGAGGAAGCCGAACTGCGTCTGCAAGGTGAAGAGACAAAAACAAAATGAAAGCATGGTATAAAGGAAACATTTTTATCTAAAGAGAGCTGTAAAGCTCCTTCGATGGAGATCGAACAACTGAAAATGTATACCAAGCTTTTCACCGAGTTGCGTTGTACCAAAGTCAACTGAGTTCTCATTGGTGAAAACCTCTGGAAGATAAAATAGCTCGGGCACCTAAATTCAAAAGAGATCAAGTACCATTACTAAAACAAAGTGCCAATCATGCTCATATATCCTGAAACAATTGGCAGCCAAAGACCTTTAATGCTAAAATATCTGTGAATGCTTTTAATTTCTAGTAACTGATTTGACCTACAGCTTGTCATAATTAAAAGCTATAAATAGCGAAAACTAAGTCAGCGGGGCCCTCTAGATGTATACCAATTCTTTTACATCACTCATGTCCTCAAGAACTCCACTCCAAGTTGCACCAATGTCTAAGAACATTCTGTCAGCATGATCAAATTTGCCACCTTGAAGTTGAATAGAAAGGGTAGTAAAAGGTTCCACTCTTGTGAGGTAATACAAAACCTGCCAAAGAAAATAGAGGCAAAGCCAAGCTAAGAGTTCTACAACTGTATATGCACTAATGTAACCAAGAGAAAATGATTTGACTGATAACGGTGAGATCACAGATGGATAAAATAGTAGAGTTTCAGAATATAATTCTCAAGCAAAAAAAATGAAGCAGCATAATATTATGGTATCACTGTCGATGCAAACGCCAATACATTCATCATGCTGATTGAATCTAAAGCCACTACATCATTGTCAGATTTTGATAGCACTATCCAGACCCTGTATAACTGGTACTAATTAATTTGGTTCCTTAGTCATCAATCAGACATTCATTTGTAACCAGGAGCCAGAAACATGGAGTTTAGCGGTGTTTCTCCATTAGATAACTATTTCAGAATTCAAACCATGACACTCATTCTCAAATCTACTACAGATCTATATTGCTGTCCTAATTAGTTTAGATTTCATAAAGCAATTTTGATTGATAAGTTCTAAAGATGATTATTTCACAAACAAGTTATATGTTACTTGAGGACCGAGATTTACACCAATGCCATTTAGTTAGTTAGGCAACTTTGACCAGACTCCCAAGCTTGTCACCATATGCTTACACAATAGCAGAAAGAAATCGCTACTTCACTAAATGAAGAATATTATGCATTGATCACATTTATAGGGAATGAGCAGTCCACAGTAAGAGCACATAATTCATGTCAAGATATGAATATAAATAGCAACAGAACCCACTGTTCCAGCTGTTGAGTAATGTGAACCATAAAGGAATTTGGGGATGACTTCATCTTGAAGGCTGGCGTATCTTTCTTGAAACATTTTTAATCTCTCAGCATTCAGAGCGCCAATGGGCTGCAATACAAACTTTTGATGAGAAAACTAGTTAAAAATATAATATATAAATATCTGTTCTAATGTGTGTTAGGAATACCTTTGAAAGATCACGGAAAGAAGAAGGAACTGAAAGATCCAAATTCTCCGAGCAGTAATCAGAAAGGATCCATGGGAACACAGGATACTGCACATAAAGGTTCCATTACATACTAATAATAACACCAGACTCCCTCTCCAGTTACATTTAGAAAAAAAAATTATCAGATTCTAAACCTGTGTTATATCATTATAACTACGTCCAGCCAACGTGTTAAGCTGCATCAAATACTCGAAATTGCTGATCTGCAAAACATTACCATCAGAATATTATTGTATAATCATGCAAATTAAGCAAGAGAACTAATCCAAATCAATTTCACTCCAGGTCCATTCTGCAAACATACCTCCCATCTGGCCCAGCGTTCCATAAGCTGAGTTCTTTTCAAAAGTTGTTCAGGTCTCTTCAAGATAAGATATAGAAACAAAGTTTATTATATTGCAAAATAAGACAACTTATACCTGTACACATTCGAATGCACATCCCACCTCATTCCAGCGTATAGATTGAGTCTATCTCATTGTAAGTAAACATATGGCAAGTAATACTTGTGTTGCAATACCTGTGTTGCAAGGTAGATATCGTTCAAATGAGGAGGACGGGCTTGCACAATAGCTCGATATGCATTTTTCCGTCCCTCAGTGCTCTACAGGAAAAAACAAATCAAGGATAAAAAGTTCAGACAGAAGAAGAGGAAAAAGGAAATCTGCAATACAGATATATGGAAAGGATATACCTCAAAATCAAAAAAGTAATTTGACCGGTCAACCATGAACAACTCCAGTGCACTTCTTCTCAGAAGATATCTGCAAAAATAATGATTCAGAAATTCAAATATCCCAAAGGAGGCGCATATAACATCTAAGAAATAGTAGAATCAAACAACATATTTTATGTTATGAATAAAAAAGGAAGAAAAGTGAAGTGTCAAAAATATATGTATGATAGGAAGTAGCATTTTTTGGCATTAGAGATAAAAAAAAACTAGAAAGAATGTCAAATTAAAAGTCCTTTCGTTATGATAAAAGGACACATGTTTTGGCTTATAGAAAATTCTCAAAGGGCATTTACCAATTAAAGGTCATCGGTTTCAAGGTTATGCACTTCCATTTGTTTTGCAAACAAGCTCGAGACAAGTACTTATCCATATAAAAAGAAATAGGCTAATAGGAAGAACTGATAGCTGGTGAATCCATCATTGATGAAAATCAAAAAATTTGATAATGAAGATAACCGTTTTATTCAGCGCCTGAAAAGAAATTGTACTTTTGCATCAACTAATTTGAACAAGCAGCACGATAAAGAAAAAGAAAGAAAAAAAAAAAAAAGAACAAGGGAAAGAAAAGAACTTTCACAAAACAAAATAACAGAAAATAACAAGAGAGGCAAATTAAACATAAAGTCAAACCATATCAGATGAAGACCAATAAAAAACCCATGTCATTGCAGACCCCAAAGCAAAGCAAAAGATAAATAAAAACAAAACTAGAGAGAAGAATCTACACCCAAATAAAAGAAGTGTCACCTTCTGCTGTAGACTTGGTGAAGTGATGACATCAACCAGCAATGATCCTTCTCTTGAACTCCGTTTACACCTTTGCTGTGCACATCTCCCATAGCACTAGGATCCGTGTGATCAACAACAAAATTGATTCTTCTTGATGTTATCTGAAGAAAGACAGCATCATACACTCAGAAATACGATATATATCAAGGGATGTTGAACTTTTCAGACATTCATCCGTCCAATTTCTAATGAATCAAGATAACCCCTAATCAGAATTTCCATACAGGATATGCTGTCTTACTTAATATATTTCACTAAACAAGTGCTGCCAATACGCACTAGATTATAATTGCCCGTTAATGTCTAGTCAAAGTCATATAATCAGTTGAGATGGGCCAATGAGAAAAGGCATCAAATAGAAAGAGCTATTTGTTATTTCGCTAGAATGGCCTGATCGTTACATATAATGTGAACTGTACCCAAAATAGCATTTACAGCAAATTACAGGTTCCTGAGTCTCTTAGAGGAGGATAAGGGGTATTCATATCGGGAAGATGAGCAGTTAGAATGCCTTATGCCAATAAAGAACATTTTGCTTAAGTATGTCAACTCACTTGAAAAGTTCCTCTCAGAACCTTCAACGGGCGGACCATTGTAGATGGAAGCTCAAGAACAATTCTTTCATCGTGCTCGCAAGGAACATAGCCAGGGGAGGTTGCGGGTGGAATAGATGCAGTGTCAAGCTCAGGATTAACTGGGAACTCCGTGGACTCTGCCAATATAACTGGCTGGTTACCAGGTCCTGATGGTACAGTCTGAATTCCACTAGGCTGTTCCTCATTTGGGCCAACAGCCAAACTGGAAGAGTCATGCTCATCTTCCTCATTTCCCAACTCCGCTGAGATGGCTTCAGCAGCTAAGATTGAGGCTTTAGATGGACTTACAGCGTTATTTCTGTCATGCTTCAGCTCTATTTTGTCTTCATAATTTGCAGCAGCACCGTGGTGATCGGAGCCATGGTAGTTCCTCCGTAAAATCCTCCTCATCCTTGAAGAACTTTCCATGAGGTCTAGCTTCCAGAAAAACTACACCACAAGAAGTTAATAACAGGAATTCTACTCAGACAACTTCAGGCAAAATAAACTCAATCCAGAAATATACCTGCTTAGTATTGCACAATTCTTCACATAGAGGACCAAAAAGGCACCTAATCTCTATCAGGCAGTGAATGAGTTTGCGCCATTCACGTATTCCCGTGTATAATCGTTGTCGGGCTATCGAATCAACTTGTGACCTCCTGTCAACCTGGAACCAACAGAGGAGATACAACGAATCATGATAAGTAACTTCAAAATTACTGATCTGAAACTTAAATGTATGAGTGCAATACCTCAGATCGCTGCATGTTTCTAGCCAGAGCTAAACTTCCAACAAGAACAGCTATATACTTGTAGGATAAGGCATTGAAGTCCTTGGCGTACACAGACTTCGAGTCCACTGACTGTAAGCATTCCATCCATGCAGTTCCCATTGCTTCTGAAACGTTCCATCTCTTTACCCGTTCATCATCACTTTTACTACGACGCTGGGCTGATGTAGCCATAGCCACAGCACTGAGTCCTCTTCCCGAGCCTATTTTCGCATTACGCTCAAGGTCTCTAGCAGCAGCCAGTGCAGCTGCTTTTGCTGCAGCCTTGTCCTTGGGAATGGCTGGAGATTTGTTAGGTGCCTCCAGAGGCTTCTGAAAGCTAGAAAATGTATGGAGTCTGACTGTTTTCCGCTCTAGAAGGGATGAGTCTCGGCGGAGATGTGAAATAGACTGAGGAGCGCTGGTTTCTCCACCAGCGGCACCAGCTGCGATCATTGCCAACGCCATAGCAGCAGGCGGTGATGCAAAAGAAGCAGCCCAACTAGGAGATACCATAGCAAGAGCAGCCTAAAAATAGTACAAATGAATTTATCAGACCATGAAGTTTACATTAAGTTAGAAGAGGTTAGAAAAATACATCACGAGGATAGATTTTGGTCAACACCTCAGCATGAAAAGTGTTAGTATCTATTGCATATCTACAGATAACTCTGCTTATCTCATGAGAGATATCTGTATCTCGTTTTTGCAACAGGTCCCAGCAACAGATAAAATTATGTTAAATCTAATATTGAAGTCACTTTTCATTACCATGAGCCTGTATTTCAAGTAGTACTCACTCACACTTTGAAAGAAGGGATGTAGGAATCAAACTCTGTACCTTAGAGCTTATTTGGTACTTATTATCCCCTTCCATCCACTCACTGCTAACTAGTAGTCAGATTTTAATTTCTCAAGAACCAGAATCTGTGTTTGCGTGTGATGTCATTGTAGAGCATTCAGGTTTTCTGGTTTTGTGTCAATATGGACCTTAAACATATCCTAAACATATTAAAGTAGAATTAAATAACCACCTCAACTGGCAAAGCATCTGCAGCCAAGGCACGATCATCAACAACAAGGGGATTTATACCGTCTGCAGTAGCAAGTTCATGAATTCCTGCCAAAAGAGGTCGCCACCTTCTTAAAATAGCAACAAAAGGAGGTAATATGGCTTCCAGGTATTGCTTGCGTAGAGGACTTCGGTCCTTTCCAATAGCATGCCACACCTTAAAAGTGTAAAAAATGCTAGGACAAATTAATATTAACTCACAACAACCAATGCTGGGGAAATAGTTGAACACAAACAAAAGAGTAGTCCATAGCAGAGCAAATTTATATATAAAGACAAACAGTTAACTTTAACATAAAACTGACCTCAGAATATAGGACACACGACGCAACTAAAACTCGCTGCCTCTTTGTCTCGGAAATTGGCATGTTTAATATAGGAGACAACACACTGCACATAACCAACTATAAATTAGTCTCAGTGTTGAAATACAGTGAAAAACAAAAAGGAAATTCCCAGGTGAAAAAAAAAAAAACATGAGCATATTTATAAACCCATAGACAGAAACCAAGAAGTATGATCCCTCCACACTTGCACCAAAAACCTCAACATCACAATCATTTAATCAGGAAAGCAAGAATAGCAGGAAGTTTTTTGGAAATCAATATTATTTTAGAAGATCAATGACGATTAGTCACATAATCCCAAATTTTGGGCAATTCGATGAAAAAATCATTCTTGTAGAAGTTTGATTGAACTGGAGACCATAAGATTGTGATAGAGATTGAGAAAGGGATCATTTTACTCAAGGAAAGGGAAGGACGGAAAAGAATAAACTCAGTGAGGCAATACTGTAAGCCAGATAATGGGATTAGCAGGAATACTGGGATCCTGACCCATTGGGCATGGAAGCTACTAAATCGTTGTCTTACTTTTTATTTATTGTCTTATTACCTTATACAAATCTTATAAAAGGGAGATACTAGATAAAGATTAGGCATCAAGAAAAATAATATTGCTTGTCGACTTTTAGCTTGTGAGCGAGATTATTTCCCAAGGAGAACCTCGTGTTCTTGGACAACCCCATGTTCTTTCATTTACTTTTCTGCATAAAATATTAAGTTCTTTACATTGACCCTTTACTCTGAACAGATTGACTGGTAGACTACAGAACATTAGAAAAACTTGTGCAATTAAGTTGAAAGTTTTCGTAACACAATGAAAAAAATAATATAAATGTAAGGTTAAGCATCATATATAATATAAATTCATTTTTTTTAGAATGGTTGACATAGAACATACCTCCAAAGCAATGCCGATCGTGGTTTTCTAGTTGGCATCCTGCTGGTTTTGTCAAAAGATGCAGCACCACTAGATTGTCTATGGAAACCCTCTACTGACTCGTCCTGGATACCGACATGCCTCATTAGCATATGGTCCTCACCATCATCATCCTCCCTCAATGAAACAAGCACCATCCGCAGCATACAGAGGAACGGCTGGTCACTGTCCAGTAACTGGTAAAGAGCTGACATGCCCCCCATTCCAGTTCCAGATCCTCCACCAATACCCAGACCACCCCCAATACCCGACTCGTCTAATAACAGAGCTTGAAGCATTGTAACAGACTTCTTTATTAGTGGAAGTTCAATCCAGTTTCCATTAGCATCCTTCTCTAACGCAGATTTCCAAGATTCCCACCCACTGCCACCTCCACCAAATAGTGATGTTTCCTGAGTAAGTCCTACACCATACCACAATCGACTTCTGTATTTCCAACCCTCTGCTAAATCTACTACACAGCTTCCATATGACACAAAAGCACAGGAAACTGATTCATAAGGTTCAGCTGCAGCTGCAGCAGTCAATCGTTCCATTACAGCTGTTGAAATTTGTCCATTAGCATCGGCCATTGAAGCAAGAACCTATTCCAAGCCAAGTTAGATTCAATGAATAAAGATAAGAAATATTCAAGAGGATCTTAGTTATCCCACCAAAATTGTGCTCTGATAGGACCAAAGCTGCAATGTATGTTCTCAAACAAAAGACAAAACAGTGATAACACTAACAGGTTGACATATATGCAATGAGATACATGTTAAAGAAAATATAAACATAGGACTGCTTACATCCACCGGACCATGAAAAATGTCAGATTTGAAGCCTTGTCCATTATGGCGGACAGCAATTAATACTCGTGTAATAAATATAACTGGATATAAGTTATATGTATGCATAAAATGCATGAACAAAAATCTTCAAGAATACTTACATTTAGAGAGAGTCCTCCAGATTCACTAGATGATGAAGTACGAGATGAAGTTTCTCCACGAACTGTATTTGAAGTGCGGCCACCCACAGGCAACATAGTAGAAAGTGGGGACGCAGATGTAGTGGGCAAACGTGAAGAACTATAAAGTTTGCTTTGTAATCGCAAATGGTCTTCAACAAGCATCAGAATAACTATTGCATTCTCAACCAATGCCACGGAAAGCTGAGCAGCATTTTCTGCTTCTATCTTCGCATCCATAGGCCGCAATCCCTCAGCTGCTACACCAGCAGCTGCTGCAGCAATAACTTGAGTCTGAAGCAACACAAAAGTTAGGATGTTGATGTTAGTGTAGCATTACACAAAGAATACAACTCCTTAGAAAAACATAAAATATAAGATAAAAAGTTCACATTTAAAATATATGAGAAATGTAAAGCCACATAAAGAATGACGTGATAGAAAAGATAACTAAACTCAGCGAGGAAGCCATTGGTAATAGAAGTGAACAATAGGTTGTTTGTGGTTTGTTTTATGAGGTGTAGATATGATTATAAGCAACAAAAAAATGCTGGAAATCTTACCAGTTTATCAGCTCTATTAGATTTTTTTTACTATGAACAGAAACAGGTACATGAATGGAGATGCATATATAATTTGACAGCATAAAATTTTATGTGATCTATTGAGGGGGGCCGCATGCAAATGGGGAATAAATTTGACTTTTCAAATTCAATAACCAAGAAGCTTAGAAGTTACATGCACAAGTGTTCCTTCTCAACTCAGTAGTGGCAGGTAATCTAACAACGGAGTAGATCCAAAAATTGATCTAACAAGTCGTAGGATGCAAGACTCTAAAAATTGACTTGATTTCAGCTGCAGGTTCTTCAGTAACAGAAAAAAAAAAAAAAAAAAA